GAATACTTTCTCAACATTTCTTATGGAGAGACTAACATGAAAAGCCTCCCCCCAGATTAGCATTGGCTGAATAACATGTATAAATATTCTTTTTTGGTGGCCCATCATGGATTACTGCCTTGCCGTGTGACAAGGCTTGTGCAGCTCATTGAAGTGATGAGCTATGCTATGGCTGTGGAAAGTTCTGAAAAAAACATGGTCCATTGGAGAAGGAAATGGCAACCTGTTCTGACCCAGCTCCCCAAACACGACAAACCCTCTGATGTGAACTCAAAAGATTCCTTTATTAGGAATGCTGGCAGCTCTGGGAAAAAGTTTATCTCACAGGCTAACAAGTCCTGCTAGCCGGAAGATGATAGTTGTCTGCCATGTCTATTCATCTCCGCCTCCTGCCTTTTATGCCCAGAGCTAGGGTGGGCCCTCACTAGCAGCGGTGACTCTTCCTTCCTCAGGATCGACCCACGGCTTTCCACTGTTCTCCTCTTCTCTGCCTTCTGCACAGCCGCACATCAGGCACTGAAACCAGCTGTTCCTCCGCTTCTTCATCAACGACCTCCAGACCTGGGGGCTGTTGACTCTTCATCTGAGGATGACGGATGGCCCAGGTCCACCTCTGTCTTTCTCTCTCTGCCAGCTCCATTTCCTCTTCCCCCTAGGAGTTTGCCTTGATGCTGACCCTGACTCCCATACCTCCTCCTCCTCCTCTGATTTGGCTGCTAGAGGAGCTGGTGGCTGATAGGCCACAATACAATCCATGCCAGTTGTTAGGTAAGCTCCCCGTTGGGAGAGTGAGTATGTTTACAGAAGTGTTGTGAGAGTTGTATTTTAAGTATTTAAGTATTTATTGGGATTTATAGGCCGCCCTTTTCCCTGAGGGGACTCAGGGCGGCTTACATTCGTAGGGGAAGGGGAAGTGCAATATAACACAAANCCCCCACAGTCTGGGTCCTCATTTCACCCACCTCGGAAGGATGGAAGGCTGAGTCAACCTTGAGCCGGTGAGATTAGAACCGCTGAACTGCAGATAGCAGTCAGCTGAAGTGACCTGCAGTACTGCACCCCTAACCACTGCGCCACCTCGGCTCTTGAAATCATGCAGTCTTGAAGCAACTCAGTCTAGAAAAAGTTTAACCATCTGATTCTTTTAAAAGCGCATAAAATCCTTTAGGAGGCCGTTTGACGTAGGTGAGACTCAAAAGTCTGTACAGCTTTCCTTGCTGGGATTTTTTTTTAAAGTGTCATGGAGCAACTCTGTGGCTTTTGCATAGGGGGAAAACAAAGGCACAGCTGCCGTCTTCACTTTTTTGCCCTTCACTTGGATGTTTCTGGAGTAGCTCCAACAATAGAGAGAACAATAGATTTTTATCCTTGCAAACCACTCAGAGTCACTGAGAGTGAGTTGGGTGGCCATATAAATGTTAATGAATGAATGAATGAATGAATGAATGAATGAATGAATGAATGAATGAATGATAGGCATGACTATTCCAAGTACTCCTTTGCAAATTATTTCCTAAATTGGGGAATCTTAATTGGAGCAGCTGACTGCTCCTTAGAAGGCCAGATCCTGATGATGAAAGTCAAATACTTTGGCCACCTAATGAGGAGGAAGGACTCACTGGAGAAGAGCCTCATGCTGGGAAAGATTGAGGACAAAAGAAGAAAGGGACGGCAGAGAATGAGGTGGCTGGACAGAGTCAAGGAAGCAGTCAGTGTGAGCTTAAATGGACTCCAGTGGATGGTAGAGGACAGAAAAGCCTAGAGGAACATTGTCCATGGGGTCACGGGTTGGACAAGACTTCACAACTAACAACAACAACAACAAATTGGAGCAGAAAGAGAAGAGGAACAATGGAGAACCCAATCTACTTTGGAGGAGACCTCCATCATTAACTCTACCCACCTCCAGCAAGTTCCATGTGTTGCCCCAAACAGAAGAACCCCAAAATAATAAAATTGGTTTTATCTGCCATAAACTTAAAAACTTTGAGCTGCAAAGGGTAAACCACAATGGTCCTTCTTCAGATATTTATATCACCTCTAGGAGGTGTTCAATAGCATGGAAAATGTGGATATTTAAAAGCTTAACGGAGCCTCCTTTTTCCTCTTCCTCATTCTTAAGATGCCATGGCAAAGTTCAAACTCCCAGCTACTGATAAGGAAGACAAGTGGCTGGCTTCACAGGTGGTGCCAAGCCAGGCTTGGGGTGACTCTGGCTTGGAGCAGGTGGTACTTAAACACACACACACCCACTTTATTAGCTCAAGGACCATGCCAAACCTGTGGTCAAGATCCCTTATGTTAGAGGTTTGGGGTTTTTTAAAAGGGTAAAATGCTAGTTTAAATGATTTTTTTGAGTCAGGCAACATTAACAAGTCTGACAAGTAATCCTCCACTTACAGTCACAATTAGCAGCTGAATTTCTACAGTCGCTAAGCAAGGCAGTTGTTAAGTGTGATTTTACAACCTTTTTCCTCGTAGTTGTTACGTGAATCACTGCAGTTAAGCGAATTTTGCTTTTAAAAAAGCAAAATAGCAAAATAATATAGATAACCCTCAACTTCATGATGACAATTGGCCCAGACCTGTTAAACAAGGGGGTTGTTGAGTGAGTTGCCCCCAACAGCTTTCCACCATGGCTGTTAAGTGAAGCACTGCACTTGTTAAGTGAATCATGCACTCGTTTCGCAAATGGAGTTTCTCCCTGTGACTTTGCTTGTCGGAAGCTGGCTGGGAAGGTTGCAAATGATGATCACATGATCCAGGGATGATGCAATCATCATAAATACATGTTGATTGCGCCTGAATTTTCATCCCATGACTGTGGGGATGCTACGACAGTTGTAAATGTGAGGACTAGTTGTAAATCACTTTTTTTCAATGGCACTAACTCCAAACTACACCAATGGTTGCAAATCATGGACTAACTGTATTAGGACAAAAAGGGCAGCCCACATGCTGGACATTCTCGTCTCCTAGATTAGTGTAATGTGTGACTGTCTAGGGAGATTCTCAGTCATCCAGGTCCTGGTTGTCCCAATGGTGCCTTGGGATAACCATGTCCCAAATGGTGTAGCCAGCCAAATGGTTGTCCCAAATGGTGGTAGACTTTAGGAGAAACCCTCCCATACTACCACCTCTTACAATACTAGACAACACAGTATCAACAGCAGAGACCTTCAAACTTCTATGGTCTATCATATCTCAAGACCTGAAATGGACACCTCAAAAACGTCATCAAAAAAGCACAACAAAGAATGTTCTTTCTGCACCAACTCAGGAAGCTCAAACTGTCCAAGGAGCTGCTGATTCTGTTCTACAGAGGAATTATTGACTCTGTCATCTGCACCTCCATAACAGTCTGGTTTGGTTCTGCAACCCAAGAAGACAGACACAGACTTCAGAGGATAATTAGAACTGCAGAAGAAACAATTGCTACCAACCTGCCTTCCATTGAGGACTTGTGCACTGCACCAGTCAAAAAGAGGGCTGTGAAAATATTTACAGACCCCTCACATCCTGGACATAAATTGTTTCATATCCTACCCTCAAAACGACACTATAGGGCACTGCACACTAGACACAAGGACTGTTTTTTCCCGAATGCCATCACTCTGCTAAACAAATAATTCCCTCACCACTGTCAAACTATTCACTAAGTCTGCATTACTATTAATCTTCTCATCGTTCCTATCACCCATCTCCTCCCACTTATGACTGCGACTTTATTGCTTGTATCCCTGTAATGTACATTGTTTCCTAGTATGATTTGATTGCTTATTTGTACCCTATGAATGTCATTAAGTGTTGTACCTTACGATTCATGACAAATGTATCTTTTCTTTTATGTACACTGAGAGCATATGCATCAAAGACAAATTCCTTGTGTGTCCAATTACACTTGGCCAATAAAGAATTCTATTTTATTCTATTTTTTTCAAGAGGCAACTGGACTTTCTTGTTTTTCTTTGAAGATGTTTCGCTTCTCATCCAAGAAGCTTCTTCAGCTCTGAGAGAGCAAAAACATCTCCAAAGAAAAACCAGAAAGTTGCCTCTTGAAAAAAGCACCTTTGGGACTGTACAGGTAGTCCCGACTTACAACAGTTCCCTTGGTGACCATGAAGAGAGTGAGTTATGACCATATTTCATAGTTGTGACTGTTAGGTAAGTTCCCCGTTGGGAGAGCGAGTGCGTTCAGAGAAGCGTTGTGAGAGTTGTGTTGGAGAACACACAAACCAGCATACAGAGACACTGCGGTTTGAATAGGCTTTTACTTTCGTGGAAAAAGAGGTATCAGAGTCCATCAAACAGTCCAAGTCATACACGGATAAGACAGTCAGTCATCAATTTCTTTCAGTTAAGGGATAATCCAAATAACTTCGTCCATAATCATACAGTCTGGTACTCAAAGTTTGCTAGCAGTTGCAAAACTTACAATAGCTGACGCACTTTCTAACAGCCAGCTTCCAAAACACTCAGATCAGATCAGCCCAGCATCTAACAAACAGAGAGCTAACAGTCATTCTGGCTCCCTCGTATGGCCAATTGAGGAAAACACCAACCAATCACATTTTACAGTATGATTTAAAGAAACAGGTACAGCATTGCTATATGTTTTATATATTGCCAACCCAACCGTTAGACTATATTCCTAACAGTGACCACTGTAGTAGGCCCATAGTCACATGATCAAAATTCAGCCACTTGACAACTGACTCACACTTATGACGGTTGTAGCGTTCCTGGGTCACGTGAGCACCCTTGGGTGACCTCCTGACAAGCAAAGTCACTGAGGAAACTAGATTCATTGTGACTAACTTAACTGCAATGATTCACTTAACAACTGTGGCAGGAGAAGTCACAAAATGGGGCAAAACTCACTGAACACATTTCTCAATTAACAACAAAAACGCTGGGCTCAATTGTGGTCGTAAGTTGAGGACTACCTGTAATGTGTGAACCGGCCCTTTTCGTCTGCCCTCCTCATGCCCCCTCAGTACCTTCATGGCTGATTCAATGAGCCTCTCTTCCTCTTTCGGTGACGTGATGACAGGGATATTGCAGATTGGGTGGTAGGCCTCTTTCTTGTCCTGCAAACAGAATTGCACACATTCAGGCAGATTAGAACAGGGTAGACTGCCACTGCCTCTGGAATCTCATTGTTCTGAACGATTGAAAGGAAGATTTAAGCACATCTGGCTTTTCCAAGATGTTGGGAGCAGGCTGTTGCAGGACATAATTTAGGCCTTAAGCCAAGGGTGTCAAACTCAAGGCCCACAGGATGCTTAAATCCAGCCCGCAGAAATGGCCTGGAAATACCAAAGGAGCAGAGCACGGTGCCTCTGCTGGCCAAAAGAAGCCACGTGCGGCCTGTTTTTGGCCGGCAGAGTGTTGCTGGAGGCCGGGGAGGCCAAAAATGGGCGGTGTGAGTGGGAACTTGGGAGGCCTCTGCACAGCCCATTTTTGGCGTATAGAATACCACAGGAGGCGTGCTGCTGGAGGCTGGGGAGGGCGAAAACGAGGTTTGTATGTGTATGGGGGGGGGGTCGCACAACTCTCCTCACCCCATCTTGACCAGTAAAGTGATGCTGGAGGCCGGGGAGGCTGAAAACGGGCTGTGGAGGGGGGGAGCTCAGGAGGCGTCTGCACAGCCCATTTTTGGCGTATAGAATACCACAGGAGGCATCCGTCCCATCTCCCCTCCCGTTCCTCCCCCCTGACCCGCAGAGTACTAAACGCTGATCCAACCCTCGAAGAAATCCAGTTCAACACCCTTGTCTTAAATCTTGAAGAGAATTTTGGTGGTTAATTTCTCCCCCTACCCCTTCTGCACCACACTTTTCAAAGGCGGCATGAGAATGCCATGAATAGATATCTGAGGGACCTCTTCAGAGGTTTAAGAGAGTGACGGCTTTAAAGGTTGAAGACGCCATTTTCTTTTTTAAAACAGAGCACTTGAAAGATTCGTTGTGGTACATTGAGGTGTGGTGGTGTTGGTGTTTGAAGCCCTCAAATTCAGGACTGGGGGTGGGAGTGGGGCACAAGGGCTCCCACCTCCAGAATAATAATGTATATGGCAGACTGCAGTCTGTCCTTCCCCAAAGAACTTTAAATATATACTGGTTGCCCCTTATCAAGGACTTTTTTTGAGTAGGATGCTTGCCTTGAGTAAAAGTGTTGAGCTGGATGACCTCTAGGGTCCCTTCCTTCTCTTAAGCTTTTACCACTCAGCGTGGGCAGCTGTGTTACCTGCAAGGCAGCTTGACAGAGGTCCACCAAGCCCTGGATGAGGTAATATTTGGCTTCGGCCATCAGCTCCTTGATCTCCTGACGGTTCTTGGGTAGAATAACCGTGTTGTCCCGCAGGTAATTTAAGATGGTTCCAAAATGCTTCCCACAGCGGTCGATCAGGATCCAACCTGGGAAAGAAAGAAGCAGGCCTCAGGTTTCAAACAAAGCAGGTGAGAAAATTGCTTTGTTTTCTACCAAGACGACTCGTAGTTAAACTTGCCTCGTCTTGGGAGGTAATTCCGAACAAGCTGCAAACAGATCTCAGACAATGATGGCCTGGGCTAAAAATTTTTGGATATGCAACAGAATTAGATAAATGGCAGAAACTATGGGAGAAGAACTGTAAAATTGACTATGTCAACTGCATATAAAGAAAACCTGTATAAAATATTTTATAGATGGCATTTTGCACTGGCAAAATTGGCTAAAATGTATAAAGATAGATCTGCCAAATGTTGGAAGTGTAACCAATCACTGGGCTCATATTATCATAAGTGGTGGAGTTGCCCAAAAGCTATAATGCAATACAATAGCAGAGTTGGAAGGGACCTTGGAGGTCTTCTAGTCCAACCCCCTGCCTAGGCAGGAAACCCTATACCGTTCAGACAAATGGCTATCCAACATCTTCTTAAAGAGTTCCAGGGTTGGGGCATTCACAACTTCTGGAGGCAAATTGTTCCACTGCTTAATTGTTCTCACTGTCAGGAAATTTCTCCTCAGTTCTAAGTTGCTTCTCTCCTTGATTAGTTTCCACTCATTGCTTCTTGTTCTGCCCTCAGGTGCCTTAGAGAATAGTTTGACTCCCTCTTCTTTGTGGCAACCCCTGAGATATTGGAAGACTGCTATCCTGTCTCCCCTGGTCCTTCTTTTCATTAAACTAGTCATACTCAGTTCCTGCAACCGTTCTTCATATGTTTTAGCCTCCAATCCCCCTAATCATCTTTCTTGCTCTTCTCTGCACTCTTTCTAGAGTCTCCATGTCTTTTCTACATCGTGGAGACCAAAACTGAATGCCATATTCCAAGTGTGGCCTTACCAAGGCATTATAAAGTGGCATTAACTTTTCACGTGATCTTGATTCTCTCCCTCTGTTGATGCAGCCTAGAACTGTGTTGGCCTTTTTGGCA